GTTCGTAATGTAGGAAACAAATATAACATATGCTGAAAATTAGCATGTCCTAGGCGAGCATGCCATAAATCAAGAGTTTGGTTCGTAAAAGAATGCCTTCCATAGTCCGATAATACGGAAGCATGTGCAAGAATTGGAGATGTCCCAAAGATGTACAGCCCGTCCCTCTCATACCCCCTGCCAAAAATCCTCTTCGTAGCTAGGTCTTGAAAAACACAGTGATTAGGAAAGGAAGTTACTGAGCAGGCCAAGGAACGAGTTAAGCGGCTAACAGATGATAAGTTAAGGGAAAGGTTAGGCGTATGAAGAACATAATGTAAAGATAAATCAGGAGATAAAGGGACAATACCCTTACTAATGATCAGTGTAAAAGAATCATCAGCAAGGCGTACTTGCCCGGAGGATGCTTCCATATCCGAAAAATATCGAGACTCACAAGTCATGTGATCGGAAACACCAGAATCTATGACCCAAGTTGGAGGAACAATACCAGACTGAGAGGCATGGAATGTAGATGGGGTACCTAAGTGAGCTGCAGTTGATGAAGCTGAAGGGATGGTACCTAAGTGAGCTGCAACAGATGTAGCTGAAGGGATGGTACCTAAGTGAGCTACAACAGATGTAGCTGAAGGGAGAGGTGCATGTGATAAATGATCTCAGAGAATAGACCCAATTTGTGTATGCAACTGATGCATATCAATACATCCAAGCGGAGGAGCAGGTGGCTCATCGGCACCAAAGGACTCGACAGTAGCAGCAATAGAAGTTGCAGTGCTGCTAGATCTGAGGTGTGGGTAGAGTTGAAAGCACCTATCCTTAGCACGACCAGTTTTCCACAATGTGCACATATAGTAGAACTCCCTCGTCCACGGTTACTGCCACGGCCACGGCCACAATTGCGAGTACCAGATGGTCTAGAAGAAGCGACTAATGCCATCTGATCAGTGTCAGGTGGAGGAAGTGTAGCAGGAGCCATCGAAGGTGTAACCTGAAGTCGATGATCATCCCCATCAATAATAGCAAAAGCCTTGAAAAGAGAGGGTAGAGGTGTAGTATTCAGAATTTGAGCACGAAGGGCCTCAAATTCTGGACGGAGTTATCACCAAGGGACTTATAGTGAGCTAGTTCCTCCCAATGTGACTGAAGGAAGGCAAAGTAATCTGCAATTGACAGCTTCAAATCGTCTTGGGTAGCTCGTGAGATATCTCGATGCAACTCATAGATCCGGGGCTTCATTACAAGCATGAGCATAAGTCTTAAGCTTTGTTTACATAAGAGAGAAAAGGCAAAAAAATGATAGCAATAATCTCTATTTATTTTTGGATAGATAGAAGAGAAAAGAAAAGAGATGATAGTATTCTTGTTTGAATATGATAGAGGGGAGAAAAGAAATGAAATGATAACAACCAAATTACTATTATATCCTTTTAAATAGAAGGGATATGAGTGGAATAATAATTTTCTTTTTTTAATTGTTTAGGGCACTTTCGGGATTATGAAAATACTACTTAAACACTATCCTTTCTCTCCTTATCTTCTCATTTTTTGAGAGATAGAAAATGGGGGATAAGTCTCTCCCTCTCCTTTCTTTTCTCTCATTTTAAACCACCCAAACACACTTAAGCCCTATCCTTTCTTTTCTTTTCTTTCCCTATCCCTCCAAATCATTCCCATCCAAACACACTCTTAGTGAGAGCAGTCCATAAGGTGCGTATAGTTTCATGATACATAAACATATTATAAATACATTGCTCCATAGAATTGAATAACCACCCAAGAATGGTACAATTATCAATGTCCCATTGTGTAAATGTGGGTTTAGCAAGTGCTGGTTTTTTAATAGTGCCCAATAAATATCCAGTTTTACCCCGACTCCCTAAATAAAGTCTCACTGATCTCGACCAAGACGGAAACTTTTTCCTATTTAATAAAACTGCAGTAATCCTTTGGGCTTGGGAACTATGCCCATAGGATGCGTTATCCTTAGTTTGAACAGATTCCGTTTCTCAGATTGTGATGATACAGAATCAAATCGCAAATTCTTACCGAATTGTAAATTGTAAATATTGTTGTCTGCAAGTCACAAGGGCAGGAGAAGTCTTCCAAGTGAGCAGCTCTATCTGCAAGAATGAAACTCGGCCGGACAATTCGTCAACAGCATGTGGCCTTGCGGAAGTCGACTGAGAATGAAAAGAGGCTGGACGATTCGTCAACAACACATAACGACCGAGCCGGTCCTTGGTTTAGAGAGAGACCCCTCTTCCACATGAAGCCATGGAGGGAAGAAGAAATACCCCCGAGGGGGTTTGGTTTGCTTGGGTGTGGTTTAGTGGTTGGTGACTGAAAAATTTAAAGAACACAAAAAGAGGAGAGGATGAACCAAGAGAAGAGGAAATAGAGACCAAGCAGTGGAGTGTGTGTCATGTTCTTGGCTCTTATACCAAGTTGAATGTAAAAGGCTCTTGTAAGCCACAAATTCTCATTAGCCATACTCCTAATTTATATTACAGACTGAATATTATATAAGTGGAAAGTAAATCAAATCACTGATCCTATGCCCCTAATAGGCACATGATGAAAATAATATTATATAAAATCAAATTAAGATCAGATAAAATCCAATCCCTAAAGATACTCTCAATACAGATCAAATCCCTATATTTTCTCCCAATAAGTATATATATTCATTTAGGTTTATATGTACTTCCATCATTACATACATATTTCTGTATATGTACATATTAAATATGTTTTATATGTATTTACATGCACGCGCACACACACAATTGGCCTGGGAAATTCAAAAATAAAGTAAGGTATGTGAAGTTGGTATCCCATAATCCCAACCCATCCAGAACCTGGTTCGGGTTTTATTTACATTTCCTATAGCACCGAGCAATCAATTTGGCTAATCACAATATCCATTTTATTAGGGGATAACGCTACTGAAAAATCTGTCTACTGTCATCCTTGGGGAAAATTCAATCATCCAATTTGATAGGGACAAACCATATATTAGATAGGATTCGTAGAGAATAGACCATAGCTTCATTCTCTTGCTACTTATTCAGATTAATCTGTCACTGGCGCATTCAAGCCTGACTCTTTTCATCCCTATTAATTCTGATTCATAGCAGAATACATTGAATAAGGTAATGATTCAAGCTCATACCACCTAGTGTAAGAACGCGATTTTGAGGCTACAAGCAGTCACTTAGTACAAGTAGTCAAGGATTACATTTTGTTGAATTAGTGTGTTCAGATATATAATTCTCTTTATAGTCAAGCTTTTCGTCACTCTTTCAATATATCTGCATTCATGATGTTTAGATTGATACAAATGTTTTATTCAAATTCATAACATATTTATGATTACACTCTCAATTAAAAGATCAAATATGATGATTATGGCATAAAAATGTCCAACAATCTCTCCAAATACAACTATTGCAACAATCAAAGAAGTATGCAAATTTTCAACTTAAGAAAGAAAAGAAACAAAATATATACCCCAAATAAGATCTGTCAAACAAAATATATGCCCCAAATAAGATCTGTCAAACAAAATATATGCCCCAAATAAGACTATTTTATTCCTTTTGCTTTCTGTCTTTCTTCATTTTGGGCGGGGGGATGGTCAAGGGAGGGGGGCAGACCGACAGAGGGAAAGCTGACTTAAGCCTAAAATTGAAGTTGACCCTCTCCCAAAACAGAAAATAAAAAAATAAAATATTTGTATTGAATGGTTATACTTAATCAATTGGCAATGTTACCCTAGCAAAAATTTACTAGCAAAAGGAAGTCTAAAACACCAGATAGAGAAGGAAAAGAGATGCTTTTACAGAGACAAGGAGAGAGATTTTATCAAAGCAAATCAAAGGTCGATGGATATTCAGTAGCACCTTATATCAGTCCTCCGAGATTCTTATCAGTACCTTTGAGTGGTTTAAATGTTGAATTCTTCACATTTCTCACACCCATACTTCCCTTTTTCATGACAAATCTAGCCTTGTGCACTTTTCTTTTCAAATGTCTACCATAGACCATAAACACTGAGTACTTCAGGGCCAAAATTAAGATCTGCAGGAGGGATTTCAAAACATCCATGCTTTCCCCACCTTATTTTCACTTTTTTCCTTTCCTTTTCATGATAAAATGTTGTAGCCAAAACCCTTAGGCACAATTTGCCAGAAGATGCTTGGAAGGTGCAGGGCCAAAGCCCTAAATTTTAATGTTATTTCAGAGTTCAAGAGTATGTATGGCGAGGATAAGATTTCTTCTGCACTTATGATGGGAACAAATTTCTGCTTTTGCAGAGAAGAATTTGCAATCCTTCTTAAGCTTCAATTGGAGGCAAAACAAGCTCTAGCTTTTTTACTCCACTTTGGTGAGCCAAGTCCAAGTAGGATTCTCTGGAGACTAAAATTTACACAAGCTCGAGCCAAGCTTAAACATGAAAGCATAATCAAGGCGAGACTGAACAACTTGATACTCCACCCAATTCATTGGCAAACCTACATTGTCATTTCTCAATGCTTCAACCCGCACACTCTTGCCCTGCCTGAGTTGATTGGAGGTATTGTCATCCAATTTCCTCAATGATGTCCATAATTTTTGTGTTGCTATTATTGTTATTTTGGTAACAGGATTTTTTCTAAGCTTACTGTTTATCTGGATACATCCTTCTTGTTGTATTTTTGGATTCCAAGAGAGGAGCCGTAACTCACATCCTTAGTGCAGTCCGAGGGGAAAAGTTGATTAACATCCATAACATACCCACAAAAGGTTATGAAAGGATTTTAATGAAAATATCTGTTCTTTATAATGATTGCTGCAGTTCTTTCTTACTATATTTTTCATGTTGTGAGCACTCTTGGTCTTAGATTAACTTGCAAGTAACAGCAATATGGGGAAAAAATCTGTGTGAAAAATAAATAAATAAATAAATATATTGACACCTAAAATAAAGACAAACAGAAGAAAGTATATCAGATGCAAACCTGCTCATGTTCGTTCCCTTCAGCTTGTGTACCATCACCATTTGCTATTTCCTCCCCAGCCTCTTCCCCTGGAACCAAGAGCGAGGCATCTTCATCCCACTCCTCCTCAACAAATGGTGCATACCTATCCGCATTAGGTGGTCCTAAACCACTTTTCTGAAAGATTCTGCAGAGCACAAATGCATCCTTTCCCTCGCAAAAGGAAACAAGTCACAAGAAATTTCACATACTATTCAAGTTCCAATGTAAGCACAACCAAAGAAAGAGGTAACTTGATTTATGAGTGATGTGATCGCAATTTGCACCTGCGCTACTCTGTTTCTCTCTGAATCTTCGTCTGCAAGTCTATATTCATGCATGACCCAATTAGTTCGCTTACCGTCCGGAGCTCGTCCACCATGAAATACAAGTGTTTTCTTCATCCCAATAGTCAGACCCTTGTGACGTACTGACCGATCCTTCCCAGTCGCCTTCCAGTACCCACTGCCAGTGGCACGATTCAACCGAGAGCCATTGCCGTATTTTCTATCTAGGGGGCTGAAGAAATACCATTCTAAGTCTCTGCTCTTCAGCCTTGAATAACCTATCCATGAATCACCAAGTAATTCATCATAAAAAACAACAAATAGAGAGAGATAGGGATGACAACCAGAGAATTGAATAGAAAATAGCTAAAATGGATAAATAACTAAGAAAATCATCAATATATAAAAATATATATTTTTTGATAAGTAAATATATAAAAATATTTACAGATACCATAAAAATCCATCATTACTGAGGGGGGAGAAATGACACTATTTGAAACCTCATCATTGGACATTGAACACCTGAATGCATAAATAAACAGGTAACTCCCAAACAATTTAAAACAGAAAAAAAGGACAAACTTAAAGCCAGACCTGAAATGGCAGAAATGCATAAAAATAATAACAAGAATTTGTATAACAAAAGAGTAGTGATACTCACACCGGACACTTGCAGTGAACCGAATAATTTTTAATTAGTTATTTATACCAAATACAAATAAGCAGAGGCTCCAATTCCTTATTTGTTGCACAATTGGCCAATTAAAAGAGTAGGTCTAGCAGGATTTTTAGATAGAAAAGAGAAATAGCTAAAATGGATAAATAACTAAGAAATTCATCGATACATATAAAAAAAATACGGATACACAATAAAAATCTATAAAGACTGATGGGGGAGAAATGAGTGACAAATGACACTATTTGAAACCTCAGAATTGAACATGGAACACCTGAATACATAAATAAAGAAGCAATTCGCCAAACAATTGAAAAAAAAAAAAAAGGGACAAACTTCAAGCGAGACCTGAAATGCAAAAAAACAATAACAATAATTCGTGTAACAAAAAAAAGAAAAAACCAAACCATGATTCAGGAATGTTAGAAACAGAAATGAAGATTCAAGATGCAAACCACCTATAACACCTTTTAGCGCATAAATAAACAAACTTTACAAGAATCCAAAAGGAAAAAAACAAAAAATAAATAAAATAAGCTACACACAAAGAAAAATGTGCACGAAATCTAGAGAGAGAAAGGCCAGACCTGCAAGCTCCCATGGCTCGGATTTGTACACATCGATTTCTGATATAGCTTCGAAACGAAAGGGCTTCCCACAGGCCTTGCGCTTGAGGTAGTACTGAACAAGCTCCTCATCGGTGGGGTGGAACCGGAAACCCGGGGCAAGGGACGTCGCCGCCGGTGGCGGTGGCGGTGGCGGAGGAGGAGGAGGGAATGGCACCGATTCGTGAGCCATGATGAAAAAAAAAATGCACAGAGAAATGGAAAATTAGGGCTTTCTGCAAGGAGAGGGAGAGGAAGAAGATGAAGATGAAGGTCTGGTGGTGTTAGGGTTAGAAGTGAAGCAAGAAATTGCCCGTTGGTTAAGAAAGGTCGAAGCTTGCTTGACACGGAAATCGAGCTGTTTCATTGCTGTGTGTATGTGTGTGTGTCTTATTGTGTGTGGATTGATTTTTTCTTTTGTTACCTTCAGAAGAAACCTTTCGTTCTCGTGAATAACGACATGCTTTGAGTTTAGCACATTAAAGTGTAACACAAGAAAAATAGTGGACGGTAAAGTCCAAGGATTTTATTTTATTTTATTATTTACTGTATAATAGTAATTGATTTTATTTATCTATTTCTTTTGTAGTAATTTTCCCTCACATAATTAAAACATTTGTTCTGTTTTTTTTCTTCTCTTTATTATATATTTTTCTTAACAAGATTGAAAGTAACCATTGTTGCTTATAAATATTTCTACTTTTAGTTATCCATGAGAAATAGTTAACACTGTTTGTTTTTTTTGTTTTTCATTTTCTTGTATTTAAAAGTAAAGTAATTCAAAGTATATTAATTGAAAAATATCTTATTTTATTCAAAATAAAAAATTTATTTTTTTCATTGTTACAGGAAATTAACATACTAGACTCTACTACTTAATGATAACATTAAACTAAAATATTTTTTTTTTTACTTTTTTATTTTTAAAAGAAAAGTACTAGCCATAGTCATTTCGTTCAACCCTTATGATTGGTTAAAAAAAAAAAAAAAAAAAACAAAACAAAAAAAACAACTCCAATCATAACAATTACTCCCTATCTTTGAAAAAAATGTCTCTTTTGGAGAATTGCGACTTCTCTCAATTTTTTCAAAAGAGACATTCTTTTTAAAACGGGAAGAAGTACAAGATAAAAATAAAAAATCACACCAGTCTTATTTGAATAACATCACATTGCATAGTCTTACTTATACATTAATAATCACAATTGCTTAAAATCCAACACAATTGTTAATGTCATTCTACATCTTTGCTTTAGTGTACAATTTTCAATATGTGACATTCGCTTTTCAACACATTATATTGTTTTCAACACATTACTGCATTTGACTAAAAATATATATATATATATATATAATGGTGTTGAAAATAGATGTAATCGAGTTAAAAATCACTACAATATAATTATAGATTCAAATTTTATAGTTGAGTATCGAGTCCCTCCTCAATACCATATCCGAATACCATATTTCTGTTTTTCCTCTTTGTTTTGTATAACTAAAACATTGATTTAGAATAAGAATTATTATATGCTAATCCAAATTGAACAAGAATTTTCTTTTTGCTTGTCCAAATTGGGACATATAACATTGTGGACGTGAGGTAGTGGTATGCACTATATTTAGAAATTGAAGAGTGAATGTCAATGTTTCTGAATAGAAACAAGTCTACACTCGTATATACTTTAATTTATTTGTTTGAACATTTTTGCAATATATACATACTAATTAAAAGGAAAAAAAGTAGCAATATGTTCGAAATTTACCATTTTACTTTTACTGAAATATATTGGACTAACATATATATATATATATATCTATATATATATATTTAACACCATTTCACTTAAGGAGATAGATGCTCTCCTCTAAAGATGTGCATAAGGTGGATCCGTGGAGCCATGTCAGCGACTAAAAATTCATCATCAAGTTGTTAACATAGGAAAAATTATTAGATGGTTCAGGATTAAGTGGTGTCGGCCATTCACAAGCTCTAGTAAAAAAGCTTATATATATATATATATTTTTTTTTTTATTATTAAAAAAAATTCAAGCAAATGCATTAATAGGGGAAAAATATACATGGTTGGATTGGTCATAAGATCCAGCCCAAAAAGAGAGAAGAAAAAAGTGAATTGGCCCAACAAAGCCCAACAAGCCCAAGAGCTTAATAAAATTGTGCGGACAAACTGTGATCCACAAGGTCCCAAGTCCTAACTAATAATTTCTCGATAGAAAAATGATATACTTGAGATTGTTTTTACTATACAATCAATTAGGTATGATAATTAATTATTATTATGTGTATATATATATATACGATAGTGTTTTTATTCTTCTAGAAAGCTGACAAAAAAAAAAACTGACAAAGATCCTTATTAGACTATATCTATTGAGATAACTACAAAAATGGATAGATTTTTATAGCTCTACAACATAGGCGTCGACATGCTGACGAGTCGTCGCTTATTAGAATCAGCATTTTCTAGGTCCAACTTATCAAACTATAATATTGGGCCTAAAACCAATTACAAAGTGGTTCATAACTACTTTGGACTGGGTAGTGTTCAGAATAACTCATATGAGCCAGAGGACCTTGTAAGCCCATGATTTCATTTATAACTCAACACAAAGATATGGTTGATCCAAGTCCACAATCATTTCCCTTGAAACAATTTTTATACCCTTCAAAACTTTGAATATTGTGTCACCTCATTAGAAGGATTCGGAATTCCAGTCTAAATTAGATATTGAAAGGGGATATTTTTAAGATTTTAACAAATTTTATAATTAATTTTGAAAATAAATTTTTTTTTTCAGTGCGCCCTTTGATAGGCCTGTTCATTAATTTAGGACAAAATGAGTGTACAAATTTCTAGTGATTTTATATTTTCATACACCTTTTCACGGTGGATGGATGGAATTTGGGTGGGATTTGGAATTCAAAATAAAATTCCTAGTATTTACTCTACATATATATATATATTTATTTATTTGGAGCACGTGTATCGGCCACACAACACACTCATCATTCAAGTTAACAGTGCAGTTCAAAAGCGAGACCTCAAAGACTTCTAGATCCCTGCCAACGCCGCTATGCTCCCAAAATATATAAACTAAAGAGTAAAGAATACTTAACCTAATTTGCGTTTGAAAAAATAAAGAAAGAACCTAATTTGTCCCCCCGTCTAATGCAATTAGGATAAAATGGTAAAAAGAACATTTCTTGTATCTAGTTTATTAAAAAAAAAAAAAAAAACAGAAATGAATCAATTTCTTTTCCTTTTTTTTCAAATTCAAATACCCTAAAATTTTGCTTCCAAACACACAACTGAAAGTTTATTTAATCTCATGTGACTTCACGTTTCATTTGAAGCGATTGCCTTGCATGAGATTGAAGAGTGTTAGATCTAATTATGTGCCATCACATTTCACATTGAAGTGAAATTCTTTTTCTATTGGTTCGCGAGAATCATTATACTAGAGTCCTGCTTGATTTAAGACTTGTTCAATCTCTACGTCTGTAACTCAACAACAGCATTCCACTGTAATGTGGACTTGAAAGTGTGTCCCATCTCAAATTGGTAAGTTTTTCTAACTTTTATTAATTCATGTTACAATATGATACTCCGTTTTATTTATAAATTATTTATTATTTTTTTGATAATACACACACACACACACATATATATACAATCTTAGTGATATGGTCTTCTTGATGCTTGTTGGAGCCATTGTTGTTTCTGTTATAATTTTGGGGAGAATGGTTCATGTTGCTTCAGTTAGTTTGTGTGAAGACATCTAATAGGTATAACAACTATAGTGAGTTGTGAGTTGGAAAATGATTCTGCACACCCTCACCTCACATTTTGAAGGTTAGGAGTTCGAAACCCTAGGGGCCCACTCTGAAGGAATTTTCGTAGTGTAGGTAGGACTAGGGGACTGCATATGTCCGGTGGTGGATTACGGGGTGCTCCCAACACCACCATCATCATTGACCAAAAAAAAAAGGGGGTTCTGTACCCAAATTGTTAGCAACTTATATCAGCATGACTGCTAAAAGCACATTGCTTTCATTTGCAACGTGGAAAAGATGTGAAAAGGACAACATAAAATAACTATGGGGCATTTTCCCTTCTTGAGTATCTCTTTCATGCGCATTGTGAAAAAAATTCAGTGTGTTCCTAAGCAGAGGAAGACTATTATAGAAACATGTACATAAGTACTAATACCATTCTTGTGAATTTCATATAAAAGAAGTGTTCCTAAGCAAGCCTACACGGGCTAGCTCAACTAGTAAGGTCTTTGGAAGTACTCCCCCTTGGGTCTCTCGTTCGAGACTCTCCAAAGGTTAGGCTTGGACTTAAAAAATGCAAAGTGTTCCTAAGCTGACAAAGACTATTATAGAACTCAAGAAATGAACTTCAATTCGTTGTTCTAGTTATTCCATGACTCATTGCCTGGTTCTTAAAAAAAAAATGTCCAATTGCTTGGTTCTTAAAAAAAAATGTCTATGCATGAATGTACACTATTTATGATTAGAACCATTCCTCAGAATTGCCTATTGGCACCCTTTAAATTTAAAAGTATCAAAAGACAACCTTTTAGTCTGATCACAACATCTAGGCCAAATGAAATGAGACCACTGGTCTTTTTTAAAGATGTCTTCATCAGAAAACAATGGACTAATGCCATCTCCCAGTTGCATGTGAAAGAACAGAGATAAGAGTTTTTGTCATAGGATCCACAACATGTTAAAAGAAAGAATACAGTTTACGTACCTCGGCCAGAGTCAACTAGGCCCCCCAGGTTGAACAATTCAAGGCTATTTGAAGCAACATTAACATTGCTTAGATTTAATTAGCTGGCATATGGTATTCGAAAGGCATGACAAAGTTCTTGTTATTACCTTTTGTGGTTGTTTTTTTCTGTGCTTGGCCTTTTCAATCAGTGACTTAGGAAACTCCACCTATCTCTCTTACCAGGAAAGAGTCTCCATTTTGATGTGCATAAAAGCTAAAGGTGCCACCTCCATCTCTTGGTGTGAAACAAGAAGCAAAGAAAAAAGAAACCGCGTTACACCTTCTCATGTTCTGATGGCCTTTTCCGGTCCCTGCAAGTGGCTAATCAAATGTGCAGCATTGCTTGCAATCCTAGCTGCACAAGTCAATGGCATAGATATCTATCTGGAATGGATTGTTGACATTAACTACATCAGTCCTGCGCAATTCATTCAGCCAGTATGTAACTAAAGTCACCTACATTTGCTATTAAGCTTTGTACATGAAAAATCATCAAGTGTTTGGGCTTCTACTTTTTTCATTTTTTTAATCTCTGCATGTGACAGGTTATCACCATTAATGGGATGTTTCCGGGGCCTCTCATCAATGCCACGACCAATGATTTCGTCCACGTGAATGTCTACAACAATTTGGATGAACCACTACTCATAACATGGTATATTAATCTACAGTCTAAATTTTTTTTTTTTTTTTTTTTCCCCACATTTCCAGTTTCGGTCATAAGTAATTAGGAGTTGGTGCAGAAATATAAGTTAGAATGTCTTTACAAGTTTCTAAGAATGTGCTTCTCATCTTGTTTCTAATCATCTACAAAGAATGATAGTTTTAATCACCACACTTAAATCTGATGAAAAAAATGGATTTGGTGGTTGTCAAGGAATGGCATACAACAGAGACTAAACTCATGGCAAGATGGAGTGTCCGGCACAAACTGCCCTATTGAACCCGGTCAGAACTGGACTTATGTGTTCCAGATCAAAGACCAGATTGGCACTTTCACCTACTTTCCCTCCATCAACTTCCAAAAGGCCGGAGGAGGATTTGGACCCATTCGTGTCAACAATCGCAATGTCATCAATGTCCCCTTCCCTAAACCAGAAGCGGAGTTTGATCTTATGATCGGTGATTGGTTTTACAACGACTACAAAGTAAGCAATGATTATAAGCATTAGTCAAGTGTTCTTAATCATTCTCTTATATTTTAATTTTGGTTAATTCAATTAAATGTGTAACAGGTGATCAGGTCAAATCAAAACGGGATTTCTTTTGGTAATAATGTTCCTAATGTGTTCTTGATGAATGGCAAAGCCCCTTATGGGCTTCCAAATACATTAGCCTCCGAGTCCTTCACTGTCACACAAGGTGAGGACTAAGGACGGCCATGACTTGATTTTCAGACAATGCTATTTCAGATTGCTGAAATTGTGGACTAATCTAATACATGATTGTATATGGGATGTAGGGAAGACATATAGATTCAGGATATCGAATGTGGGAACTGCATTGAGTTTCAACTTTAGGATTCAGAACCATCAGATGGTGTTGGTTGAAACCGAAGGGTCTTACACCAATCAGACCACATTCGACTCTCTTGATGTGCATGTTGGCCAGTCCTATTCTGTTCTTGTTACTGCCAATCAAGTCGGAGCAGATTATTTCATGGTGGCTACACCAAAATTATTGGACACCGATGACAACAGCTCCCTTGTGGCTAAAGGGGTGTTACACTATGCCAATTCCGCCACAACTGTTACAGGTCCTTTGCCGAGTGGACCTGATCCGTTTGATCTAGAATTTTCAGTGAATCAAGCTAAATCTATTAGGTAAATCAAATTTTCATCTATTTCTGATATCACTTAATTGATCATATGGTTTACATTTCTGAATCAAAGTGATTTTGATAAGAAATGAAACTTTTTTTGGTCTTTATAGGTGGAACATGACTGCAGGGGCTGCAAGGCCTAATCCACAAGGAACCTTCAATGTATCGAATGTGACCCTAACGCAGACCTTTATCCTCCACGGATCACTAGCTCAAATCAATGGTGTTCCACGCTACGCTGTCAACAATGTTTCATATCTCACTCCTAATACCCCATTGAAACTTGCTGATCAGTTTGTCAATGGATCCGGTGTGTACCAGCTCGATGCATTCCCTGTCCATTCTATCAATGATGCTGGTGCCTATGGAACCTCTGTTGTGACTGGGGACCATAAAGGGTGGCTAGAGATTGTTTTTAAGAATGATTTGGAAGCAATGGATTCCTGGCATTTAGATGGTTACGGATTCTATGTCGTTGGGTAAGTGATCATCATCGATCATCACCCTTGCTTTTATCCCATATGGATGGGGTCAGCCACATGAATTCTCTTTTTCCACTCTTTCCTATTATACACCATGCATTCTCTTAAATTTAGGTTTTGTAAGTCGTTTCTAATTACTTCATTCCACGTAAGCTTTTAGTCTGTTTTTCATGACATGATCACAAATTGCGTCTCAGCATTTAGTCTGCTTTTCAAATACTTTGCATTTTGGACAATTTGTGCTCATGATGTTCCAATTCTCAACTTCTAGGTTTGGAGGTGGAGAATGGACACCAAAATCGCGCAATACTTATAACCTGTTAGATCCTGTTGTTCGCTCCACTGTCCAGGTGTATCCGGGATGGTGGACTGCAGTTTATGCATTCCTGGACAATCCCGGAATGTGGAACCTGAGATCCCAACACTTGACTCATTGGTACAAGGGCCAAGAACTCTACATAAGGGTTCACGACGATGATCCCAACCCTCTCAAGGAGAAGCCACCACCGGAAAATGTCCTTTTATGTGGTTAGTGCCATCCCCACAGGCTCTCAAGTCTTTCAATACCATGCCATAGTCATCATTCTGTTAAAAACTTGTTTCTGAGACATTTTTTTTTACAAATGCAGGAAAGTTCGATGGTTCCTTTGCTCCAGCGCCAGCTCCCCAGCCTGGATGGTAATACGAAATGTTGATCGTGTGATGGTTCGTCTAATGATTTTGCATAAACTTCCCATTCATGTACTTTGTTTTTCTCATAAAATTATAATGTAGCCTTTTTTTTTTTATTTTTTTCGGAAGTTTTTCCTGTGTTTAATAAGGATGATTCATGGTGACTACTTAAATTTTGTTGGAGAGGAAGGATCTTGGGGGAGGATTGTAGTCAATTGGTATACATATGATATGTGGTGTAAACCGTGTAATTACAAATTTATTCAAGAAGTTTTTATCATTTGGGTTACAGTTCTGGTTGAAGATGAGTGTTTCTTGCTGTCCTCTTTTCTCTGTTTGGAGTTTTTGATCATGGTGGTGATATTATGGTATATATCCTTTTGCTTCTTGTGTTTTTTGTATAGGACTCAGATGTTTATCAAAATCAAAGTATGAGATGAAAATTAATGTTTAACGCACAATTTATTTGGGATATTTATTCTCAAATGTTAAGTGTAGAGAGAATAGAATTAGGCAGGCAAAGTGCAACGATCAACATTGTGTCTGCATGGACAACAAGAGTTGAGTAAAAAATAAAATAGAATTATCTGAAATTTTAAATAGAAGTACTCCTGTTTGGCGGTAATGTGGGATGTGCAAACTGATTGTAGAACGAATTGAAAAACAAATTAAAATTAAGGCTGGCAATAAAACCATAAAAGTATACCAGCTATGCATTTGTTTGAGTAGGACAGCGTGGATAGTCTCTGGTTGTATAGGCGCATTTTGACAAAAAAATTGTGAATATGAAAATAGTGACAATGTCTACATAGTTTGGGTAGTTGTGATAAATTGTATCAAAGCCACGCTAATTCTTAAGAGAGGATGATTATGACGTACCCCTCTTGTGAGAGAGATTTTTGGCGATTAAATATGTGGACATTCCTAACTCTGTAGACACGTTTTTAAAAAAATTATGAGTATATAGAGTATGCAAAAAGGACATCTACACAGTAAGTGAGAGCGTGAGAAAACACAATATCTAAAACACCATATCTAAATGGTAGAACGGATTAGTAATTGGGAATTGTTTGGCAATTATTTTCCATCATAATTGATGGCATGAATAATTGCCACTTGTCAGTACCAATCTCAAATGTTATAACTGCATCAATGTGCCATGTCATCGATCAACAGGTGGGATCCAATCACCATTGTCTACCATAAGGCCGGATCTGCTTGGGTGCAAACAGTATCATGATAAGAAAGAATAATTCTTGATCAGCTGTCGTATGAAATCCTAATCTATATTAAACACCTAAACTACCGAGTTAACAATGGAAGGAAAAGTCGTCTTCTTTGTAATTATCTCCATTGTTTTTTTGTCCCGGTAAGTAACTATTTCCATTGTTGATTAAACTTTCCTTCCATTCAGTTTTGCTTTGCCGTTACGAATATATAATTGAAAAACAAAATATATAAGTAATTATCTCCATTATTTTAAAAATTTTTATTTTATGATCATATATATTGTTAATTACTGTTGAACAACCTATTATAAATATTTTTGGTTTTATGTCAAAATAATTTCGAGTTAATATGTTCCACATTCAGTTTTGCTTTGCCGGTACGAAAGCTTTTGAAACTGTAACAAAACAATGGTCTCAATCTAAGTTACGCGTGAGGCAGGTTGCTAGAGTTTGAAAGCTGCTTGTATTATATATTTTGTTTATGGCAAAAGAATGATCGAAGTGCAAATAATCTTGTCCATGAAATATATGGAATTTGTCGAGTAATACAAACATAGATATATATCCCTAAATAGAAATAAATATGACAAAAATTTGTTGGTTTCTCTCTCAAAGAAAGTTTCTCATCCACAAGCAAAAACAACAAAATAGTCATCCAATTCAAGCATTGCACAAACTAGTATATATCATTTTAATTAATAAGAATGAAATAGAAAGCCTTGAACGAATTCCTTGCAACATAATATAAACTCAAGATCGATGTTTTGACGTAAAATATATTTTTTAAGTAAAATATTTTTTCTAATTTTACTTTCAGTATTTGACAAAATTCAAGATCGATGTTGAGATTGAATTTATTGAGCAAGTGTGAAAATAACCAGTTGAAAATTGATGAGTAAAAATTATTTGTTATATTACGTTTTATTTTTTTTATAAATATTTTGTAATAACCAAACATAAATGTATATATATACAAAAGATATTTTACATACGGGCCTAAATTAAAAATACTACTGATCATGCTTATGCCCATTCCCGGCAATTGCAGCAACACCGGCATAGATTTTTCTCTCCCACCTTCATTTTTGCTGCAAAAAATTTAGAAAAGGTGGGACCCTAAAGTATGAGGTAGTCAATATCAGACTACCTGTCAGAAAACAAGAACTAGACAGGCCAAATAGAGTCCAACTAGGTAAATAATACCACAAGAAACAAAAAACACAAGGTTTTTAAGCATTGTCCTAACTCTACTTCTCTCTCCATTCTTTCTCTGAAAGTTTCACCATCATTAAGCCCCCTTTCAACCTTCTCTGGCCGCTACACAGAACAATCCAACCCATAACATGGCAACCTTTGGCCACTGCTCACCGCTAATTTTCCTGGCAATTTTTCTCTCTCATCTTGCTGCGGTCGCCAATGGAGAGGATTTTTTTCTGGACTGGCATGTGGCGCTGAACACAACCATCAAACCAGTATATGTGGATCAACCGGTACGAATTGAGATTGGTTCTGTTGCTTTTTTGTTAGGGCACGAGAGAATTAGGGTTAGCATGACAATATTTATGTTTTTTTTTTTTTTTCAACAGGTCATTACCATCAATGGAATGTTTCCGGGACCTCTTATCAATGTGACAACCAACGATGTTGTTCATGTTAATGTGTTTAATGATATGGATGAGCCATTACTGATGACATGGTATATCACTCTCTCTGTCTCTCTCTCTATATATATTTATACATATATCTATGTATACATCACATACGCGCACATTATGCTGAATTCACTTCTCTAGATTTTATTTTTGGTAAAAGTCTGCGGACTTGTTATGTGGTTGGCTCATGGACAATATTAATATTGAGAACTTCTTGTATATGGAAGTTCTCTCAGATTGTAACTCTTTTAATCATACATTTCTTTCTTTGTTAGGGAAAAAAAGGATTGTAATTAGTGAAAATATATATTTTAATTTACCACTTTTTATCCAAAACTTATATATATATATATATATATATATATATATATATATATACCAAAAAAAATTAATACAAAAAATTAACTAATTGATACTATTTTGATTTAATATATTTGTGATTGTCCTTTTCATGTATGTTTTGAACGTTGCATGATAATTTATTTTGCTATAAAAAATAATTTCCGTAAATTTCAGTAAATTGCAAAGCTTTATCGTAGTTATGATTGTTTGAAAAACAATTCTGAAATAGCGAGAAAAAAAAAATACAAAATCCTTTTGTTTTATAACCTAAAATGAAAATTTTATTTAGAAGGAGTGAGATTAGGTAAATAAGTGAGGATTTTGTACTAGCCTAGGATCAAGAAATAAATTGAATTTTTTTTTTTATTATTCTCTCTTCTCAGTTTCAATTTGGAGAAAGATTGAGAGGGTAATGGAAAAAAATTTGATGAGATGAACTAGATGTATGTTGGGAAAAGTTATGTGCACCTTTATGAGAGAAATACAAAAATTAATAAAAAAAAAGAGGACTAAAATGATAGACTTGATATTTTTCTTTGCATTTTTCTTTTCAGTTTTATAATCTTCAAGTAAGGGTATATTTACAATATTAAAAAATTATATATACAAAAGTATAACTCTTGGGGTTGCCCCACCCGTCCATATGTGGCTCCACCAATGCATATATGACCTACTTTAATTTGGTAAGGAAGCTAGCTAGCTGTTACATATCTCATAATTCTATTAAAATATTTGTGTAATTGTGTTCACAAAATGATGGAAGAGAAGATCAAGTACATTAGAAATATATGAAAATTTAGAGAATTAAAGGCAATAATCATTAATTTAGTTTATAAATTATGCAATTCGAGTTATTATTGTTTTAATGATTTAATGGAATATTTGAAATATGGGTAATGCACCTTTTTTTTTTTTTTTTTTTTTTTTTTTTTTTTTTTTTTTGGGTTTAAATAATTTTTGAACTATACAAAGATTGTGCCTAAAATGTGTCACATATATAATTATGAACATTTAATGGTACATATTGGTAAAAAGGCTTTGATATTGATAGTTTGAAATTAACCAAAATTGTACAATATGTGGTATGTTGGTGTAGGAATGGCATACAACAAAGACTAAACTCATGGCAAGATGGGGTGTCGGGTACAAATTGCCCGATCCAACCTAGTATGAATTGGACCTATGTCTTTCAAATAAAGGATCAAATTGGCAGTTTCTTTTACTTTCCCTCCATCAATTTTCACAAGGCCGGTGGTGGTTTCGGAGCGATCCGAGTTAACAACCGGGGTGTGATTGCAGTACCATTTCCGCTACCCGAAGCTGAGTTTGATCTTCTCATTGGTGATTGGTATCACCATAACTTCAAGGTACCCTTTTTCAGAATAACTTGAATTTTGAATTTGAGCTAGGTGGGTAAGGGGCTAAGCGGTAAGGTGAGATTTTCTTTTATAATTATTTAAATTTTAAATCCTTAATAGTTGATGATAATTGGAGTCCTATCTAATCGAAATTTTAAACCATTAAAAGTTACGAAGTATGGAAGCTTATGAGAACATGTCGTATATATAATAGTATTCGTATTTGACACCCTGTCTGAGAATGATACTTGATGGACAATTTTGAAAACTTGTCTAATATTGTATAGCCATGTCCATAGATTAAATATAATTTTTGCCATTTCGGAAACTTAGCCAACACATCTTTGGCACTTGATCCACATAACACATTCCGGGTACACGGTCACCACATCTTACACTCATCGTCATAGTGTGTATAAAGAAATACACGATAATTCTAAAAATAACATTATGAACATATATATATATATATATATATATATATATATATATATATATATATTAAAGTGGCTAATCTTTTTTTCTGTAAAAAATTGAACATTCAACATGTGTGGGTATATAATAACAAAAATATAATCATAATGACAAGATAGAAGACTAATATTATGTTTATAATATATTCTTTTTGATATTAGAATAGCTTCATATTCAAACTTATGTAACTTTAGTATAAAATTTAGAAATTAAATAAAGTTCTATAATTGTTGTACTCAATAGATAGATATATAAACGGATATTTATATTTATATTTATATTAGTCATGTCTAGACATGTCTTACTCCTACTTTTTTTGACATGTAAGATATCCGTTTTATATTGTGTTCGTTCCTCATTCAATATACATGGAAGTTGTTATTTTAAAATGATATTCAAATTAAAATTTAATTGCATATAATCACATAATTTATTCAAAATCTCGTACCACTTAAGTTACTAGACTAAAGAAAAATTAATAATTGATTCATACATGTAGCTCATCAATATGCTCATTTTCTTTTATTAATTTGGTTATAAACTTTTGATTTATCAGTTTGAAAAGTATTTTTGTTTATGCTTGTTTGGTTTATCAATATGATCTAGTTACATCTAACTTTGTTTTCTCTCGTGGCCTCAGAGTGTTAGGGACACTATGAATGCATCATCTTGTGCCTATCATAGTAACCCTGATAGAATGCTCATGAATGGTAAGGGATGGGACAAGAATCATTCAAAAGTTCAGGAATCCTTCACTGTTACAAAAGGTAAAAAACCGATTGAATAACGTCAGTGTCATTTGAGTACATTTCGATTTTAAGTCAAAAGAGTTTTAATGAAATGGAGAACCGAAAGCTCCCTATCGGTTAGAAACCACAGTTTTAATGAAATATAGAGCCGAAATATCCTACCGGTTAGATAAGACAATGCTTTACAAACTTATTAATCTCATAGACAAGCCGAAGAGCTTATCAACCCTTAAAACACAACCAAAGGGTCTTTGGCCCAATGGTATAACCTTCCCATCTTCAAAAAAGAGGGGAGGGGTTCGAGTCCCGGCGTGGACAAAAATGTGTGTGTGTGTGTTTGCTTTACCATCTAAAAAAAAAAACCCCTGAAAACATACAAGCAGGACTTCAACATGGGTCACCTTAACGTTTGAAGGTCTGATAAGCCCTCGTCTGGTTTGTTCAGTCAGTCTAATAGATTTGTAATTAATTTTCTGATTAGATATACTCAATTAAGAGTCATGTGAGAAAAGTTGAGTGTATCTATTGAATAGGATATGAGAGCTTCCGACTTCTCATTTTTCTCATTTGTTTAAACTCTTCAAAATATTATTACTCTTTCAATTAACTACAAGTTTTATGTGTTGATTACATGTTTGATTTGCATTTATGTAGGGAAGACTTATAGATTTAGAGTATCAAATGTGGGGATTGCGTGGAGTATAAACTTTCGAATTCAAAATCATAAAATGGTGATAGTTGAAACAGAAGGATCATACACCAATCAAATGACACTAGATTCTCTCGACATACATGTCGGCCAATCATACTCTGTCCTCGTCACAGCGGATCAAAACCCTGCAGATTATTACATAGTAGCAAGTCCTAAACTGATTAATACTTCTGATAATAGCACTCTTGTGGCTGTGGGCTTATTACACTATGACAACTCCACCACACCCCCTAATGGGCCTCTACCCAATGGGCCCGATCCGTTTGATCAAGTATTTTCAGTAAATCAAGCTAGATCCATTACATGGAACTTGACCACTGGTGCAGCGAGACCCAACCCACAAGGATCATTCAATGTGTCAAATGTGACACTTTCACAAACCTTCATTCTTGAAGGATCAATAGCTGAGATCCATGGTAATCCTCGTTACACCGTTAACAATGTGTCTAATCTAATTCCGGACACTCCTCTTAAACTTGCTGATCAACTCGCTAATGGCTCCGGTGTTTACCAACTCAATCAATTTCCTGTCAATTCTACCTTATCGGCCTCCATCAATGGAACTTTTGTTGTGACCGGAAATCACAAAGGGTGGCTAGAAATTGTGTTCAAGAATGATTTACAGGTCATGGATTCTTGGCATTTGGACGGATTCGGATTCTATGTTGTTGGGTAAGTATCACTATCTTTTTATTATGGTAGATGTATAATACAATATCTATTATTATTATTATTAATGTTTCTGTTAAACGGACAATTTAAAAGGACCACATATCAAAACTATTGATGAATAATGAACCTAATTTACTTATGCTACGATATGCCATGGAGATAATGGGCCATCATAATTTGAGTCAAGACTTATTGGATTTTGAAACTTAAACTACAGACTGGATTGCACAACATACACAACGTGACCCCAGACAACTTATGATGGCATTGCACAAGTTCCACGTCAGCTTATATATATTTTTTTGAGTCATGCTATTACGAGGTGGAGCTACAAATTCTACAGAAAAATCTATTAAATGATTCATCTGATTTTTCACATATATAAAAAATTTGAAGAGTTATCTTGAGGAAGCTCTCTTGACAGTATTACTATAAAAATTTTTTAATAAATAAAATTTTAAAATTACACTTGACTCTCAATGAATGCATCGATCTAACATATGCAATCCACTCGAATATGAAGTTCTATGCCAATTCAACATGTTCCTTCTTTCAGAAAATAAAAAAATGTATTTATCTTTTTATCCACTGCTTCTTCTTTAACTGTCACACATTCTCTGTTTTTTTATCTACAGGTTTGGAGTTGGAAATTGGAAACCTGAATTGCGTTACACATATAATCTGTATAATCCGGTTGTCCGCTCTACAATTCAGGTGATCATCTCTATATATGTGTAAACGTACTTAAATTTATAATGTGTGTCTATATATATATATATATATATATATATATATATCATATTGTAGCATGCACACCCACACGTGTGACATAAATATGATCAGGTTTACCCAGGAGGATGGACAGCAGTTTATGCATACCTTGACAATCCCGGGATGTGGAATCTTAGGTCACAACATCTGAAAAATTGGTATTTGGGTCAAGAGCTCTATGTGAGAGTTTATGATGCTGATCCCAACCCCGCCAAGGAACGACCACCACCGGACAACTTATTGTATTGTGGTTAGGACCATATCCATTATACATTTGAGCCTATGTGACACTCCATTAATCTTAGTTACATTTTCTCTTTTATAATGGTTTAATTCTCTCGTTTAACTATTCACAGGAAAGTTTGATCCTCCACCTCCTCCACCACCTGCCGCTGTACCACCTCCGCCAACACCAGTTCCTCCGGCGCCAGTGCCGTCTAGTGCTACACCCATCCCATCGGTGGCATGGTAAATATTAAACAAAAATAAGAAAGATATTATATAGAATTTGACTATGTTTAAAGAAGTATTTTATATAGAAAAATACCAAACTTACCCGGCGCGCACCCTAAACCCGAATGCAAGAGGTGGGGTTGTTAGACTCACAACATGATATCCTTTCTCTTTTTGAGTTGCAAAAATTATTAGATAGTTCCAGAGCACGTGATGTTGGTCAATAAGACAAATGAACTTGCAACCGAAATATTAATTTCTCCTCTAACACGGGTGTTGGTACCCTAGCATTACTTTTTATAATAATTTAAGTCTATTAAATATATATATATATATACACTCGTTAGGTTACATTAGTGTTTTAAAAGGATTGAAAACATTATTTACTCTAAAAAATATAAATACTCCATTTGTTCTATAAAAAAAAATGTCCTTTTTTTAGAATATAACTTTTTAAGAGTATATCTATTAATGGCTTTTTATTTTTTTTATTATAATGGTAGGGAATGAATTTTCAAATATATCCTTCTTTGACAGCTACACGTACTTCTATAAAAGGAAGGCAAATTATAAAACTGTGAATACTTTTTTATAGAACAGAATGAGTAAAAAGTACTAGAAATGGGAATATTGCATCCGTGTGTTTAAATTTGATGAATTCAATGTTATTACTATACATACCCAAATTTGACATATGTAAAAAAAGTTTTAAAAAGAGCTTACCTGAATTCATGTACTAACATATTTATTTGTTCACTTTTGACTATTCATTCAATTATATCTAGTAATTATGTTATTTCTTGTTGCATGTTGGTAGGTTTTATATGGCGTTGATGTGTATCCTCTTGGTTCTTTAGATGTGTATCCTCTTGGTTCTTTAGAGTGCTCTCCATACTATATACACGGCGATATTTTGAAGGCACACCAGCTGCGAAAGAGCCTGTAAATGTAATTTCGGGTTTGGAGGGTCGGGAATTGGTTTTTATTTTATTTTATTTTTTATTTTTGGGTGATGATAGTTATTTGATCACCATATAATAGATATTTTTATTTGGTGCATGTATATTTAATATTTTCCTGAAAAATGAACAAATGAAAATTTATGTTTTAAATCATTATTCATTAGGATGAGATCATTGTTTGGTGCTGTAATTTCTACCTCCTCAGAATTATTTAATGATTTTTAATTTTTAATTTTTTTGTATTGTTTATTTGTTGCTTGAGAAATTCTCACAAGTTGTGTAAAGAGAACTAAACTAGAGGCTTAATTTTTAGTTTTTATATTTCGATAAAAAAAAAGAAGTTATAGGCCAATTAAACTATCTAAAGTGGATTGTGAAAGTTGAGTCCTTAAAGGAGCAAAAGGAGCAAAGTGAGTCTATAAGTGGTGTGTGTGAATTTCTTTTTAATGAAAAAAAATAAATAATAATAAATAAATAAATAAATAAATCTAGAACCCAAACTTCCAGGTGGTGTAATTCCATAGCTGCCATTCCATAGCTGCAACTTATAAAATGTGCCCATGGAAGGGTAGTAGGCACTTACTACCTGGGTTTTATGGCTTTGTGTTCAAAGATGGTTATTCAAAACTGTGTTTAAAGATAATGTGGGTTTTTTTTTTTTTATAGCAATTCTTAGAATGACAAAAATTTATAGAGTTTACACGCGCACACAGGCGATATTATAAATTGGGATAATGTATAACACATGTAGTATAGATATTTGTGAGCGACAACAACAAAAAGGAAGAAGATACTTAAAGTTTAGGTTTTTTTTTTTTTTTAAATAAGTGATATTAAGAAGAAAACGAATTTACATATATAATTGCCCACAAATTTGAGGAATATAGTGATTAATGTTTGTTTCTACATTGATTGGTTGAGTAAGAATTATATACAGACCAGCACTCACATTTCTCTTTAAATATCTATACTCCACGAATTGTTGCCTGCAAATGAGGCTCCTATCCCATTTATAGGCCTCTTCCATCCTAATGAATAGCTAGGATTCAATACAATTAACGAATAAGATTCACCTCCTAAAATTCTTTTCTAAATATTAAGCCTACTCTCTACTCCTCCAAAAACATTCCCACTATACACACTGCTAAAATATTTTAGAATGCTTCAATATTCCACACAATTCTGAAATACTCTAAAACTTAATTTTCTACACCCATCAATCAAACATCATGCATCCATAGTGCTCTGTGTGTCATCTGCATGGGGCCACCTCTTTTGATGGGGCGTGCCATGTTGCTCTGTTTTGAGGGGAATAAAAAGGTTTCTCTTAATACAATTTTTCAAACGTCGGCACAAGAGGAAGTTTTGAGATTATAAAACAGGGTCATAATTGTCTATCGAATTTGGGTGACCTAAATTTTGGGAATTATGTTGGATACAAATTGACCCGAATGCTCATAAGCAATTCAAAAAATATTTGGGTCATAATATCCAATTTTATTATCACGTTTTACAAATAGGTTATTAACTGATCATGACCAAATGGTCAGTAGCCCAACAATACTAGATCCATACTTCCCAAAGAAAAATCTTACATTCGAGCCCTAATGGAAACGATATGCGTGAGTCAATTGTTTTACCTTTTTTTTTTTACTGATTATGCCCCAACATCGATCAGCCCGGGCTTATCACCCGTCCTACACCCACCCAATTGCCGCCCTAGAAAATACCTATACAAGAGTAAAAGGGATATCACTCCGAACAAATGGCCAGAAGCCATGAGAACAAAGGCAGCAATTGGATGAAGCTTCAACCAAGATCCAGGCATGCCACTTACCAATAACCAAGGGATTCCCCAGTCATGAAGAGGTGCTGCTACTACAACCTTTTTTTTTTTAATTTTAACAGGTAAATTTAAGTATATAGATGTGTAAAGTCCATAATTGGGGGTTGTGCTAGGACTGTGTATCCCAACAATTACAATATAGGGCTTAGGCCTAGGCCCAAGTTGGAGAGTTCCAACGACAGCAATTCAAAGCCCAAGTTGAGAGATCCAACAACAGCAAATTCAAAAACTGATGCAGGTAACGTTAGCCAACAAACAGTCCGGTCATTTTTTGTGTTTATAATTTAAATTGGTAGAATTTGAGAAAAATTTGATTTAATTTTATGAGTTATTTTCTTTTGTCAATTCTAATTCCAAAATTTCAATTTCATGCTTGACAAACATAGCTTAGAATTATTATTATTCTCCATAGACATTAGTTTAGATGGTATGAATACTACTCTTTAAGTATTGTTCTAATTCGGTTAAAAAATTAATATCATGGATAAATGTGTGTTTACTTAAACTTTTTTTCGAAGAAACTTGTATTATTCTCTTGTTTCTTTTCATTCCTATGTATCTGCCTGAGTGAATTAATGTGGCCAAAGTTGAATTTGTCAGCAACACAGTTTGAATTTTTTATTTTTTTATTTTTTTGGATAAAGTACAATAAACCCCCTTGACTATGGTTTTTTTTTCAATAAACCCCATTGTCTAATTTTTTTTACCAAACCCCCTCCAACTATTTGAAGGGTGAACAAGTAGATGTTTGGACCAAAATACCCTTATTATTGTTTTATTTGAATCATAATTCATCCAAACTTCAAAAATTTATTTTTCACAAATCGTACATCAAAAAATTGCAAATAGTATATGACGAAAAACTTATGGAACATGGATTCTAGAAATATAAGATTTGTGCAACATGCCACTATAACCAGAGAAAAATAGGTAATTTAAGAATTTGCTCCAGCAATCTTATTTTATTTTTAGAAAATAAAACATTCAGGTATTTGCAAGAAAATTTTGAGAAATATTCATTGACATATAGATCATAACATATAAAAAATTTAGCTCCAATAGAGATAGATTATTCATTTTGAATTTTTTTTTATTTAAATGGTGAGTCTAGCTATAAGAAAATAAAAATACATTAACGCACAATATGATATCTCATGAAATTGGTCTTGGGTCTAAATTTTTTTATATGTTATGCTCTATTTGCAAATGAATAATTCTGAAAATTTTCTTACAAATATCCCTAGTATTTTATTTTCTAAAAATTATGGATTGAGATTGGTTCTGCTGATTTTTTGTTATGGCACAAGAGAATTATAGTTAGCATAAGAATATTTACGTTTTTTTTTTTTTTTTCTCGACAGGTCATTACAATCAATGGAATGTTTCCTGGACCTCTTCTCAATGTGACGACCAACGATGTTGTTCATGTTAATGTGTTTAATGATATGGATGAGCCACATGATATATCTCTCTCTCAATCTCTATATGTATATATATACATATATCTATATATATATATATAAACATCTCATACACACACATTCCATTGATTGGGTCAAAATTTTTTATATGTTATGGTCCATTTGCAAATGAATAATTCTGAATTTTTTTTTTTTTTACAAATATCCCGGATATTTTATTTTTGCAAATATCCCGGATATTTTATTTTCTAAAAATACCGGTATGGATTGAGATTGGTTCTGCTGATGACATGGTATATCTCAGTCTCAATCTCTATGTGTGTGTGTACACACACACGCACATCACATACACACACATTATGTTGAATTCACTTCGCTGTTTTGTTCATAGGAATAAGAATAATGATCTCTGGTTTATATTATTTCATCTGATATCAATAGGCTTGCCGAAGTTATTTTTGGTAAAAATCTGCCCCTATGTTGACTTGTTATGTGATTTGCTTGTGGATGATATTAATACTGGGAACTTCTTGTCTATTGAAGTTATCTCAGATTTTAACTTTTTTAATCAGT